TCTCCACTGTGGCTCCTGGAAAACAGTAACACAAAGCCTAAGAAATTAAATTTTACTGTCAAATGTATACATAAATACAGCAAGGATTATTAAAGAAGACAGGAAGTAAGAGCTCAGCGAATCCCAGTTGTGGCTAAGATAAATGTGTTTATCTATTTTCTTGCACAAAACAGTGATAAAAGATCAGTTGAAAAGCAGCTAACAATTAAAATTGTGCAGTATGTAAAGCAGAAATATGCCAGTAAGAATGAGGTGCACTGAAGTGTGTGTATGACCCTATGGTTGGATTACACAGACACTTGTAAAGTTTGCCCTGATACCACCATATCTGGCCTTATTAGCAACAATAATGAAACCACCTACAGCGAGGTAGCAGAGCGAAAGCCACAACAACCGCCTCATACTTAACACAGACAAAACAAACCCATTTGTTGTGGATTTTCAGAGCCATTGAAGGAGTCACGTTTAGAGGTTTAAAGTATACCTTTTTATTTTTTATATATATATATATATATATATATATATAAATATATATTATTTATTTTTTTTTTTATAGGGAACCAGACCAAACTCTCAGCAATGACAGGTTTCTCAACGTCCACATCACGGAGGTACTGAGGACATGTCCACGTTAGTGTTAACACATTTTAAGCTGCATTCCGTTTTACCTAGTGTCCATAATAAACCTGTTTTTGATCAAAGTTTTTGAAATGTGCTCATGTCTGTTGTCACCTGACCATCATTTTACCAACCCTGAGTGTTTTTCCATCCATCCATCCATCTTCAACCGCTTATTCCTGCTTCAGGGTTGCGGGGAACCTGGAGCCTATCCCAGGAATCATCGGGCACAAGGCGGGGTACACCCTGGACAGGGTGCCAGTCCATCGCAGGGCACAATCACATACACACTCACACACCCATTCATACACTATGGACAATTTACCAACCTGCCAATCAACCTACCATTCATGTCTTTGGACTGGGGGAGGAAACCAGAGTACCCGGAGGAAACCCCCACAGCACGGGGACCCTGAGTGTTTTTTTGGCACTTAAATATTTGTGACATTACTCTGTGAATGGCATAACCATCCTGGTTCAGGTAACATGCTCAGTATAGTCATTTTTCTCCAGTATTTTCTCTATTCTTTAAAAAAATAATAATAATAATAATGCAAAAGTAGACAACATTGCACTGACAATGAGTTGTAAAATGAATCTGTATCAGTGTGGCTATGGCCCAGGGTGGTGTCAGAACACTGATACCATCTTCACTAAAGGCCGACAGCATAGAAATGATCTGTAGTAGTGTAGTAGAGTCCTGAATGCTGGTATTGCAGTGTAGTATAGTGCAGGGCAGCAATACAAAGGGATATACAGTCAAGGTCATAAGTTTACATACACCAGAGAGACAAAGAGAGAGAGAGAGATTGTGATAAATTGATATTAATCTGTCTTCTAGGAAACATGTAAATGTCTTATGTCGTTTCTGAAGGGCAGTACGACGTGGAAAAAAAATAGATCTTTAAACAAAATAATAATAACTGAGACCAATCATCCTGTTCAAATGTTTACACCCCCCTGGCTCTTAATGTATCGTGTTGCCTTTTTGAGAATCAGTGAATGTTTGCACCTTTTGTAATAGTCGTGTACGAGTCCCTCGATTATCCTCAGTGTGAAAAGATGGATCTCAGCATCATATAGTCACTGTTGGAAAGGAGTCAAATATGAAGAAGATGCTGGAACAGCAAAGAATGTGCAGGACCTGGAGGAGTTTTCTGGAGAACAGTGGGCAGTTTAACTGCTCAGGACAAACAAGGGACTCATGAAGAACTATCGCATAACACAAACACAGTCGTGGATCATCCAGGTAACACCACGCAGTATTGAGAATCAAGCGTGTGTAAACTTTTGAACTGGTTTATTTGTGTAAATTCAGTTATTACTGTGTCTTGTGAACTGTACAGTATGTAAACATCTGTCATGTGAAATAACTTATTCGGGGCAGTACTAAAAAAAAAAAAGCAATTTTTATGATCCCTCTTATTTATTTATTTTTTATTATTAACATTTTGCAGATTCTGCAAGGCGTATGTATATATACTTATGACCTCGACTGTGTGTATCTCTGGAGTTGGACATCTACATTTTCAGCTTCACAGAAGTTGTTGTATTGGTGTTATTTCTGTACATTTTGATACTGCTGAATATTTGATTTCAGCTGTGCTATCAATGTTCAGCTCTCCTTGAAGGCACTCTCATTCGGCCTCTCTTTATTGCTGCTTGTAGCCAATAAGAGCAAGCCTTTTTTTTTTTTTTTTACACAGCCTTAATTTGAGAAGTATAATTAGACTTGGGTATAATATACAATGGCGGGCAAACAACAAAAAAAAAGCTCTTGGGACAACTAATCTCCACTGAAAATCGGTTACAGAACCCCAAGTTACAGAACACTTTAGAAGCATGTCCACGATCTGTTCTTCCTACTGGGCTTTCACTGGACATACTGCAGAGTTGAAACACTGACCAACACATTTAAGAACTGGTTTTACTCCGAAGTGGCTCGTCATACATTTACATAAACATCATAAGCGTGGTAAGCATCATAAGTGTTGGAATATTGCACAGATTACAAATGTTTACAAATTGCAGTCTGGGGTGCTGGGACAAAGGAGATTATGTTTCCACCTATTTTTATTCATTACTGCTCAGAGGATGTGACTCAGTGGATTGCTGAAGCAGTCACCAGTGTTATTTTCTCTCATACATTAACCAGAGATAAAACTATTGTCTCTACTTGGTTTTATTTTAAATTTGATATGTACTTTTGGGCACAACACTTTCTATTTATTCCTTGTGCGACTCACTTCAGTGGTGGATTTTAACTCTTATTGGTAAGATAATTTCTATCAACTCTAGATTTACCTAGCTGATTATGTGGGTTAATTTATGTTAGTTAATATCTTCTGGCCTAGTTAACATTGCTAACTAACTAGATAACAACATAAATCAACTTCAGGAAAATACGCAACAAAATATTTTTTTTTTTAAACAACAAGACTATGCATTTATCAATACTAGTCAATCAAATAAACAGATAGTCATGGCTTCCACATTTGATTGTGAGAGTTTTTGGGCCACCAAATAAGAGTCTGAACAAACAGATTGGTGCACTGACTATTACAGTTCATGTTTCCATTAGAGTGTTTCCACTGTTACGCATCGATGTAATGTCTGAATGGTTTTTCTGATATTGTCAAATCCTCCATCTACAAAATCCCATCACCAACTTACCAAGAAACGTGTCTGCTAGACTGATCGACTGTGAGGCAAGAGCAGTCCTGAAGCCCCGCCCATCAGAGGGAATGATAGTTGATTGACAGATAAAGGTTTCTACATAGTTGGCCTCAGCACTCTGGGGATCTTTATCAGATAGGTCTGTAACATTATCTGTACAGATCGCAGGCCTGTGACCCTGGAAAGAACAGAAATCAAACTGAAAAACCTGACTTTGAAAAGCATCATATGATGCCAGTTTACGCCGGTGAATGAGTGTATACAAACCTGTGTCCCACACAAGCTGATGTTGAAGAGATGGTAGTACTTGGTGCCCTTGGAAGTGAAGCTGGGGCCATTCATAACCGAGCCGGTGGAGCCCAGGGGACTGAAATCATACTGCAGAGTTCTGTTGAGGTCCGTGTGTGTGAACGAACAGTCACTGTAGCACAGGCTGTGCTCCTAAAACAAACACAATACACTTCATATCGCAATCCTACACAATACATTACAATTTCACAACCTGAGTAATCACTGTCTACAGACTGCCTGATTTAAATTCCATTAAATAAAACTTGTTTCACTTGTTTCGCTCGGCTGGCCACACATCCAGCAGCTCAAAGTCTGGTACTACCAACCAAATCAATAAAAATCACAGTTGTAGATTATAAATAGGAGCCAATCAAATCGTAAACATCTACAACATCCCATTGTTATGCTGCAGAGCTCCGGCATGAAACATCTGGAGTGGCTTGAGCTATTTTTGGTCTGCACTCCTCTCTGCTGGAATCAGCTACTACAACACTACCACACTGATAAATAATAATAACAGGAGCTCTCCAAATGCACTTATGAAATCTCTACTGCTCTCTTAATCGTGATTACCAAACTGATAATACCATAACAGAAAGTAATTAAGTGAGTACTATAACCACATAGTGCCTTAAAGAATATTAGTGTAGTGTGAGCAGAAAGGAGGGGTTACGTACTAAAATTTTGGAAAACTTTGATGAAAACTCGATGTTGGGTTTGTGTATGTGTAAGTAGTACGTGTCATTTATAATGTAATGCGATATTAAAGAACCCATATGCATGAAATATTCGTTCATTATAATGTAACAATAGCTGCTATTGTTCTTGCAATAAACCATCAGTAAGTGATAGCAAGGATTTTGATAGGCGAACTTCCAGAGTGGTTGTGTGAAATGAACAGCTGGAGTTGAATCTTTGTTAAATCGTTGGTTATGATGGAACTAGGAAGTTCAATAGGGCATAGTGTGTTGAGATCTCTCAGAAAATATACTTGCTCTTATAAATTTTGGAGCATTGCTGCTGTTGTGGCCAGGGATCCTTGCCCAACAAAGACAGACAAGACACTACGCACTTTATACATAGACTGCCCTGAAAGATTTATACACTCCTAACTGAAGTGGGAAATGTTTGAGACCACAATTTTTGTCAAGGTTTTCCTTCAGTCATTAAACTTCTTACACTACAAGATTTGCCCAGAATGAAAGCACCACACACTTTCCAATTCTGCTCATGAGTTCCAACCAATCAGAGTACTGCTTCTTGGATCCTGGGATCTTCCAGAATTTCTCAGGAACAAACAAGGAGGATGATGATTCAACTAGGCTGTCTTGGACTTATATACTGTATATGTTGTCAAAATTGTGTTTTCAGTTTTCCCCCTGCCCCACACTACAGGATGTTGAGTCTCTGAGGTCATTGGGTAGCTCAGTGGTTAAGACGTTGGACTTCTGATCAGAAGCTCGTTAGTTCAAATATCACCACCAACAAGCTGCCACTGCTGAGCAAATGAGATAAATGTAAGCTGCTCTTTATAGGGGCATCTTCCAAATGCCATAAATGTAAACATTGGACATCAATAAGATCAGCAACCTGATTATCCTCTATGCTTGAAGCATTGACTGTACCTTGTTGCTGCGGCCACCTGGTCCACATGGCTGGCATGCGTCTTGGCCGTAGATGTGGTGTCCTGAGAGGAAAGTGTTGGGTGGGCATTCCTGGCACTGATTGGTTTCCTCGTCTATATAATAGCCGGCAGGACAAGGCACGCAGGCCGAACCTGGCTGCTGAGACTCAATAGCACAAGCCCTGCATGCCCAGGCGACACCATCCAGAGCGTTCGTTACGGTAATTGAGTAGATCTTCGCCATGTCGTCGACATACTGACGCCCCTAAGACAGACACACGAAGTTCATTTATTAGGTTTCTTCCTTTATAAAAAAAAAAAAAAGTAGTAGACAACTACACTGCAAACACATCGTTATATAAAAAGCCCAGACGCAATTATCACATTAACGTCGATGCAATATGGCTTCCACCGTCATTATTTAGCAGCTTATAAAATAGCACTTGATTGAGCACATTGGTTTTTTGTTGCACAGTGTATTAGGCATACAGAGGCGGAAAGCATGAAGGTGTGAAAAGCTCTATATGTACAGTTTAGTGTTGTAGCAAGTGACTAGACAGGCCACAAGAATGTGTCTTTCTTTTTTATTGGGCTCAGACTTTAATCTGGCCACAAGATACAGATTCGAATCCAAGAGACTGTAATATGTGCATGGGATCCAAGCTATTTTATCATAAAACAATATGTTCGTTAAAAAGATCACTGCTGACTGTTTAACTATTGTGTTATGGGTCAATTTGACCAATTTCCACATTTGAGACGTCTGAAATTCTGTCTAATCTCTCGTTTTCTCTTCGACTTTGGGTCATGAACTTAAATGCAAATATTTCCTCTTATATTCTTATAATAAAGGTTTACTGTTTTAAGTTGTTCATTGCTGTTTTTCGTGTGTATTTAAACCGTGGAAGTCATTTTGACCCATAACATAACGGATGTAACTTTTTTTTTTACCAACATAATAGAAGGGTTAAGGGATAATCTGCTGCATTTACAGTTTACTTTATGTAAGTGTTGTTTATACTTTTACCCATAAACAATTTGCTTTAAAATCTGTGATTAAAATGATGTCACCTGTGATCTCTGTGCCGGTGGGGGGGTATACGGGTTTCCTGGACATTACATTACATTAATTAATTGTGCCATATTGCATTTAAGTCTTTAATGTTGGCCTCAAATGGTATTTGCAATCCAAAACATACATTTTAGCTTGACATGTGAACTGTCAGAGAGTAGCGCTGGACTTAATACTTCTCCTCGCTTGAGCTGAGATCACGCAAGAAAAATGGGCTTAAGTCTAAGGTCAGGATCACACATAACTGCGACACAGCTTTGTTCTTGAGGATAAATCTGTAGCTACTGTATGTCTGAATACCAATGAGCACAAGTTCAGCATTAAATCCTCACTGTGTGCTTAACTAAACTCTGAATACAGCCATACATCCAGTATCTCTCAGTGTGAGTCTGAGTGTGTACACGTACATCTTTAGCCTGGTTAGTGCGTTGAAAAGCCCATGTGTACGACACAGATGCATTCTTAGTCATGATGTGCGTGTAGGACTGCTTCTCCTTACTGCCTTCCCACGATTCCACCACATTGGTGCTCCGTCTGTCTGTGTCCTGCAGAAAACAACAACACATATGCACAAGAGCTTGCTTAGACAGAAAACTAACCCAAACTATAGTTGGGCACAAAGCAGGCCAACGAAGAGGAAGTGAAGTGCTGAAAAAAGTGTGAGTTCCACATGGACTACACACACACACACACACACTCACTCACCATCATGAAGTACAGCTGACAATCAGCTGAACATATGGTTTCAAACACGAAGGTGATGCGTCCAAACTCAGTTCCACTGATTCCACTAACTGACGTTGGTAACCTGAGACACACAACCAGAAAACTTTTAACAACTGCAGACTTTTATACTGTAACACATCTGGATGTAATCTTTCATAACTGACCTGACACTACCAGCTAGCGATTAATGTTTGTTTGTTTGTTTGCTTTAAAGCTAAAATCAAGAAGGAGATAATCCCACCACAGCACTGTTGAATGCTCGAATTGGATTGGTCAGAAGGTGTTGATTCATTTTCTATAGCAGCAGCCCTGACGATAGTGCCAGCTGCACGGTTTATATTAAAATGTTTGTGCTAATGGATTACAATGGTTGATATGGTGAAGTTTTCGATGAGGAGATTTATTTAGTGTTTGTGGAAGGAGTCTCCAATGTCAGTGCTTTGCAACAGTCGGAGGTAAAGCTGTAACTAAGTTTTCGAGGGTTTTTGCGGTTTCTCTCTAGCCTAACAAGCTTCATTTTTGTCTTATGAACATCAAGAGAGAATAAAAGGAGGCTACTAACGTTAGAGGCTACTGTAGCTGAAATAACGTAAGTTATAACAGGAACTTGTTTCGCAAATCTACAATGCCATTCAGTCCTGCCAGGACTTCACAATTTTGCGGCCGCGGAAATGAACGCAAAATCAAGCATGCGCCACAATTTTGCGAGTTTTCAAAATCACCGCAGATTTTCCGCAGATTTGGGTCAAGACTCGCCATGTGATGTCATCACGACGCGCATTCAGCCAAACGCCTTCTTCGATTCACATGCGCTGAACATGAACGTCACAATTCAAGAGGGGTTTTTTTTTAAAGCCGCCGTAAAATCAAGCATTTTAAATGAATAAAATGTTCCATATGTTGTTCTTTTATTAATTCAAAAAATGTAATCTGACAAATTGCTGTGGCATGATAGGTATAAACACTTCAGGGTGGTAAGAGCAACACTGCTTTGCTTCAGAAAACATCACACCACCCCACTGTTGATTATTTTTATATAACATCATGTTTATCACGTTTTATTCCTTTCTTATCATTAGGGTCAGAACTTTGACTACTGGCAGATACTGGGTGGACAATGCCATTCTCCCAGAATGCTCACTTCCAAGTTGTACAAAAAATTGTATCCTGTCCTCACACACACAATCTGTTTTGGTGTCAGACAGACTGTTTTGGTGGCCATTTATTGCATAAATACGAGACTGAATCTTAAAATGTGTCCAATGCAATCCGATAGCAAACCAGAGTTTCAAGACAATATTTGCCGCTCTATCAATATTCACTATTGGATCAGTGTATCCTTTAAAATACATTACATGCTCTTCAATAGGTAGATATCTTACATCACAGTGAATGAAAATGGCTTTCTCTTCGTTCCGTGACTGGAAACCTTTACCTGATCATTTTAGAGAGCTGGTTTGTCTCACCTGAATCCAGGTGCTTTAAGGTTTAAGATGAGGTAATCATTATCTGATCCTCCAGCTCCAGAACGAATGTGATCTCCTGCTACCTCCCAACCTAACACACACACACACACACACACACACACACACACACACACAAATCAGTAAAGTATGGACTGCTCAAATGTGCATAAAAAATGTATATGCTTACATGCAAAGCACAGTTTTGGTTTGTTTTGGGTTTTTTTTAAAAAAGAGTGTATGCAACTCTTTCTCCTGTTCCTTTATCCTGGAACAGCTGCTCATAGTGCAACAGTGCCATCTGTCTGTCAACAATTGGCTCTGCATCTGTATGCCACTGGCCTTTAAGCTGTTTCCTAGTTTCATACAGATGGATGTCGCTCACACTCTCTCTCTAGTTCTTTCTCTCACCATTCATGCCATCACACTTGGTGTTGGCCACATTGAAGCAGGACGACTTCATGCCAGAGGGCAGAATGTTCCACCACTTATATTCATAGCCCAGGGCTGGCTCTGTGCCCGCAGGACAAGGCTGGCACGCTAGATGGTGACACAGAAAATCCAAAACACATACCACATCAGCACTAGCATTCTATTCTAAGAAACAACAAAGACATATTAAATGTATTCGATTCTTCACTATATTTTATTCAAGTCATTACACACAGCTACAACACAACAAATCTACCCCAATGACTCCACCTACTGTACTCAGAGCCTCAACATACTTCAGAAGACATTTACACTGAAGAAGGAATTCTGGAAATCACCTTTGAGGCCTTCTGAGTAGGTTCCTTGTGGGCAAGGAGAGCATGTAGCAGTGTTGTTGTTATAAAAGCCAGGATTACAGGGTGGGCATGGCTCACGTTTACCAGAAGGGGGCAGTGTTGCAGCATCAGGAGCATCTTCCAAACAGATCTTCGGCTCGATCCACTTATACATAACCTGAGTCTGAGAAACAGAGACAGAGAGAAAGGTCTCGACACGTTTAATTAATCAGTATTACAAATATTATGATATGAAGTATTAATGTAAAGTATGATCGCATTACCTTGCCCTCTTTATCACAAACACTGTGGATCTGGAAGTAGTCTTTCTCTGAGCACGCAGGTCTGGGCTTACACTCTGCAGAGCCCTCCACTGGTCCAAATAGAAAGAAGAGACGAATTTCAAAACACATTCAAACCATTGTGTATTATTATTTTATTGTATATTATACACATGGACCTGGCCAATATCGAATCTGCCATCATTAAGGTTCTTTCGATTTTAAAACCTGCATTCACAAACATAATGCACCATTGAACAACCACTAACTACTAATCACAGATTTTTCTCAGAGAGAGAAGCTCGTACAGCTTGTTTTTATAAGATATAATCACGCTCTTTTTGATGAATGTGGCGTCATCAAGCTTTAAACACAGAATTGATAAACAGATAGATCAGTACGGATAGATCACTGTGTTAATCCCAGAGGGAATTAGATACATCTATTTTTTGATAGATAGATAGATAGATAGATAGATAGATAGATAGATAGATAGATAGATAGATAGATAGATAGATAGATAGATAGATAGATAGATAGATAGATAGATAGAT